ATATCTGGCCAATTTAAGTAATAAATGGCGGGTTATTTATAGAAAAATTTTGATACAGAACGACTGGCACGAGTGCAATAATACCGATCGGATTACGCGTGATGATCACCGAAACTAATATTTCACGTTTTTGCTTCCATATTGAGCATCAATGTGTCATTCGCAATACTGTATTAGTTATACATTTTCCGAATTGGATAGAAAAATGTAATAACATATTATGGTAATCTTTTATTAAGTTAAAAATTCTTTTAGAAATTGATATCTTAAAGTCTTGCTGAAAGTAGAAAAATAAAATAATTATAATAATTAAAAATATATAGCACAATTAATTCAGAAAAGTCTTATTTGTATCAAATTTTTTGTTAAAACCTACATACTTTATGTCTCTATTAGATTTATTAATATAAATTATTATTATTATATTTAATATAATAAAATTATTATTATATGTATTTAATATTATTCTTAAAATTTCTAAATTAATCGAAGTTACTTTTAATACAATTAAAAATAGCTTCAAATTTATATTCTACGATAAAGATATTCAGAAAAACGTTCTACAGTTTTAAATCGCATCCTGGACATTTCTATCGCCAACTTCTTGTCAGCTTGCGCGTTATGTTTCTTCCCTCGTATTTTTCCTTCGAAGTTTTCTCAGGTTTCTTTATCGATTTCAATTGTTTCTTCTCGATGATATTATAGGTAATACGACCATTATAGACATGTAGCATATGCTCGAAGAGAGATCTACATTTTTAAAAGGAATTGTTTGCTCACGTGCCAGCGAGGGGTAGCCTGTTGATCGTTTGTCCCCGAAGTTACAATCTTTGAACGGTCAGTGCTTGAGTTCAACGTGTAATTACGATTGATCGATAGCTATTCCCGCTTTCGTCGTCCCCTACACGATCGGTCAGTACTCTTACCGTCATCACGCGACGTACAATAAATCAATCGACGTATGTACAAGTTTCACGCATAACACGTATCGTTCACTCATATCGATGGCGGGCGATTTAGAAGAGCAAGTCATCGCGGAATTTATCACAATCTCGTGAGATGACTGTAACGTGCATGACAAACTATTTTTTTTCGGTCGAAATCGGGACTCCGATTTATTGGCACGTAGCTCATTTTGTTGCAATTTCCATTCATGTATCTTTTCAAAAATTTCAAGATAAACGATTTCTTAATGCTTATAGACGCTTTGATCATAACTGTACCATATAGCTTGGCTTTCTTAGAAGTTGATCAGCCTCTGGTTAAATCGCCAAAGAATGGAATAACTCAGGAAGGTACTTAAGTCTTTATTCAATAGAACAATCGTGCGACGCAACAGAATGTCAATTATGTTAATTAGTATTATACCGCCTGTGAAAATAATTATAAATTATAATAATTATAACAGATAAAAGATAATAATTATAATAAGATAAAAGAGAAACAGAATATTATTACAATTTTTTCTGTTACAAGTCAGTTTTTTATTCTTTGTATAATATTTTAGAATGCTCTCCGACGACAAAGATTTTACTCGCTATATAATATTCATCTCTTCTGCAACGTTTATATTTTGAACTTCTTTTATATTTCAAATTTGATGTTTATTCAACCTATAAAAGTGCTTCTTCAAACAGCTCGTAAATGTAAAAGGTGTCGTAAAGACGTTCGCATAGCGCATTTTCCGGACTTTCTGTTTAAACACCTTTTATACTTTTGTATTGTTTTTATATGTTGCGTATCTCTTTCTCTCTCTCTTTCTCTCTGTGGCAAATACTTTCGAAATATTTTTCATAGAATATTTCACATGATTTTAGCGAGAATGAACAAAGATTAAAGAGAGTACATTATTACCAGCTCTCACATACATATACTTAATGCTAGCATATAATCCTGTAATTAACGCCAATTTGTCGCGTCAGTGCTTTAAATTTTAATGTTCATCAGCGTCTCAGCTGCTGTTTTCTGCGCTCTCGGAGGTCTCATTCGACGCTCCGCGAAGGAAGGGAGGACGATCCTCACGGGACCAGATTCGATCTTCCCTTCAAAATGGAATTACCTTTCGAGATTAATGAATCTCTATCTTTGAGATCATGGCAGTAGCCCAGTTTCTCCACTTTCTCCTCTCTGAACGCTATGATCAATTCTCTGGTCATCACATTAGTGAGTTTCAATCAGCTTCTTCGCGTTGCAGTGTGAAAGATCATTTCCTAGTTTTCTGTGTAAATAAAAATGGAATTAAATCCAATATTCATAGATTCTTCACCTAAATTATTAGATTGATACGGTACAAGTTTTGGCTTAAATCTTTCTGAAAAAAATACCAAAGTTTTTCGTTTTTATCTTTTTTCATCTTAAAGATTTTCATCTTAAAGCATCAAAAGATCATCTCATTGTCTGACAATATCGAAAATCTCTTCTCCTGTATTGCGTGCATGTAGTTTTTATTTAATTGGTTATCTGACGTCTCTTGATTATTATTATAAATTTTATTCTTCATAATAATTGTAAATACTAAGTAATTATTTCAATTTAAAAATAGAAATTAATTTTTTAAATTATGTTTGTTATTAAATTATGTAAATTTGCGTAATAAATCTCATTATAAAATATTATGATATATTATAAAGCAATTGATATTTTTATAGAATATTAATAATGCCAATTTTTTGCTTTGATGTTATATAACCAATTTGTATTATTCATTGCTTGTACACTCGCTCACTAAAAGGTTGCGACACTTTTTTTTTATAGGTTTCTAATTTATATTTAATATATACGTAATATATACTTTATAGATAATTAATATTTTGCAAATGCAAACCACGATGTACTATCTTTAGTCTAAAGGCAGTATAACACCAATCGTGGTCCGCATTTGCAAAATATTAATGCGTTTTGAAACCTATAAAAAAGAAAGTGTCGCAACCTTTTAGTGAGCGAGTGTACAGACTATTCAGTAATAATAACAGACTATCAAAAAGCAATAATATTAATAAAATGCATTTTATTTTACGTCGCAATTACGTTTGTTTTCTGTTGCACCGAAAGTATTTTAGCGCAAAGGTTATCACATGTAAACTGTATTTTATCAAAACGATCTTATTTTCTCGATAAATTGCTGTGTTAACAGGCAATTTTGCGAGCACTTAACTTTACAAATTGCTGCTATATAAACGTATCTATATCAAATGAAATTTTTACAGGAGGAAAAATATTTGCGCTCATGCTCGACATTCGTAGAACTCAACTGGTTGTTTTTCACGGTAAATCGATCGGAGACGCCGTCTACGAGTCCGTCTGGTACAACATGATGCCCAGCCGGTGTCGAACTCTCGCTCCTGCTTGTGATTGTGAGGTCGCAAAAGAGATTGACGATCACGGCTGGAAAAGTGATGGATCTTTCTCTGGAGGGATTCACCGGCGTAAGATCCGTTCTCATACATACAAAATGTTGCTCATGGATATTAAACGCGTCTCGGGCGAATATCAAAGCTGACTGTGCAAACAATTTATAATGCAAACGATTCAGCGGCCTCCGTAACTATGCACACATCCGATATGATACTTACAATGAAAAGTGTCTCTCCGTATACAGGTAAAAGCTTCTGTTTTGTACATATCGACGCTGCATATTGCGATGTATTAAGAAATTATGAACTCGGATATGGATGTCAACGACTACATTTGCTCGTCCATTTGATGAAATTGATGAGAAGACACAGAGAATCGTGCGCAAAGATTGCTTCCTGAAATATAATAGTTATTGTCAGAAAAGATCATTAGAAAAGATTCTCAACGCACGTAAAGTAAACGTTTCAGTGAGCGGACATGTACCTATATATATCCGAACACGCATACAAAACTTATTATTAATTAATCTCAATTGCTTTTGTTATAATATTATAATTTAATTGTAATCTTTAAATATTCTTGCAATTAAATTTGGATGTTTCTTTCTAAAAAAAAGGCATGACATCGATAATCGCATCTTTCAAAGTATTGTTGTCGCTTTTTCGCGATGCCGATTGGTTGTCTCGCAGCGGCCGGTTACTTCGTGAGCGGCTGTCATGGCATATTTTAACAGTTGTGTGTACTGAGGTTGATAGAGTGCAAATATAGTAAAAAGTGAAAAATGTTAAATAGCGCGCGTCTGTAATGGTAGTAAAAAAAGCATTTGAAATTAATAATTTTGTGTCCGGTCATAGACACATGTCAAATTATTGAGACGTTTATATGCGTTAATACTGGAAATGCGTTAATAACTGCTTAATATTAACTACTTGATGGTAAAATCATTTGAGAAAAAAGAAATACTCGAAAATAAGATATATGCCTGTTTAAATAATACTTTTAGTTGTATATAATTCTTTTTGATCAACAAACTTTCGTAACGCAAGTAGGCATGTTACATACGTTGGAATTTATACTATTGATACGCGTAATAGATATAATCTCCTCTGATCTCTTTCCGAACGTGAACGTGATCGCACGATAATATGTTACCTTTGTTTACAACAATACGCGACTTAGAACTTCTCACGAGTCTCTTTCTATAGCAACACTCCCTTTTCCTTGCCTTTGTGCTTCGCAAGTCTTTCAACGCGTACTGGCATTGTGCACATGCGCCCAACGGATCTCTCATTTTTTTAATAAGCGAATATTCTCCTTCCCCTCCTCGCGTAACGTTCGATATACGTCGCCTCGAATTATGCTCTTTCTTTTCTCTACAACCTGTAATCATCGTAGAAATGTAACGTACGCTTCTATTTTTTTTTCGCCGTCACATCAGACACGGCAAGAGCACGCATAATTGCGATTGATTGATAACGATCGGCGAAGGGGGCAACGCATTGTTGTGGCCTCGCGTTTGCGACCGGAGTTATAGCACGTCGAAACTCGATGCTTAATCTCCGAGTAGCGTCGCACAGCACGACAATCGTTTTCTTGCCTTTGAGACGAGGGAACGGTCGCGGTGGTCCCGATCCCAGCGCGAGATAATGCGCGCAACTTCCATCAGCACTTCCGTCGAGATCGGCCTCCGCTTCGTCGGACTCTGGCCGGATTTGCCGTACGGGACCATCACTTGGTTCGCGTACATGACGAGCCTGGTGTTCGCGCTGTACTTTCAGTACGCGTACATCTTCGGCCACTTCGACGTGAACGACATCTCGAATCTCATCGATGCGCTCAGCATCACGTTGGCTTACAGCCTCGGCTGCCTGAAGCTGATCTCCCTCTGGTCGAATCGCAGGTAGGGATATAGTTTCCGCGATGTCGCGATGACAGGAACGACGATTTCGATGCAAAATACGCGAGCCATTTTCTACAGGCTATTTTATGATATCCTGCTAGCGATGGAAGAAGATTGGAGCAACGTCAAAATTTTCGACAAATCGGTATCGTACATCATGGCGAGCAATGCCGAGCTGTCGCGCCGTTGCTCGAACGTGCTGATCAGCATCAACGCCATGTCCGCAATTTGCTACTCCATGACCAATCTTTTGCGATACTCGGTCGACTTTAAGGATGATCTAAACATTAGTTCGAGAGTGCTGCCTATAAAGATGGAATTCCCCTTCGAAGTCGACGCGTCTCCCCTCTTCGAGCTTTTAGCGCTCGGTCAGGTTCTTCATGTAGTGTCGATCGCCGCTTTAGTCGCTATGATGAATTGCTTGATCATCACGCTGGTGAGTTCCGCCGATCGAGTGACGCATGGCTTTTTAAGATTTATTAGCTTCACTCTTTACTGCGGTGACACGCGCTTCCGCGAGCGTTAATCGAAACATAATTATGACTCTTTGTCCTCTAATTTTGCACCTTGAATTTGAATACTTTAAAAGTAATACTTTTAAAAAAGAATTTTCGCTCATGACGAAAATTCTTTTTTTCGCGTAAGTTTTCTTTGCGGAGTCTAATTAATAGTCACGTTTAGGTACTTCACGTGAGCGGACAGATCGATATTCTTCGTCGGCAATTACTGACAATTTGCGGCAACGGAACTGTGCAGCGCGATTCAATCGTCGCAAGTGTCAGGCTTCTGATTATCCGGCACCAAAGAATAATAACGCTCTCGGACAATATCGAGGAACTCTATTCCGACATCGCGCTGATGCAGTTCTTATCGAATACCGTCGTCATCTGTTGCATCGGCTTCACCATCATAGGCGTAAGTCGCGTAGTTAATGAAATAATTATGGTGTTATTTTGCAATTATTGTATTATTTTGTAATTTTACGCTAAACCTAAATACCTTGAACATCTTCCGAGCTCTCTGCCATCTTCTCGTATAGTCTCTCATTAGGGACGGGGCTACCGTGGTGATGCTGAAGTCCGCTATCTTTTACGTCGCCGTAACGTTGGAAGCCTTTATCTTCTGTTTCGCGGGGGAATATCTCAGCGCCAAGGTTCGTGTAATATTTTATCTTATACGTGCAATATTCTATTTCTCATTCTTCGGGTCCGCTGGCAATCAATTTTTAAACTTTTTGCATCTTCTGCGGAACAATTTACTGAGAGCCTTGGTCAGTTCAATATATATCTACGCTACATTACGGCTCTTGTGTTTCTTAAATGTTCGAAAACTCTCAAATGGTATCACTGGATCGGACTTGAAATCGAATTCAGATAAATTGATAGACTTGTTCCTTTCGAGTTTGTAAGCTGTTGCCTTTCTTTTTCTGCAGAGCAAATCAATTGGCGATGCAGTCTATGAGGCGCTCTGGTATAACATGACACCTGCCGAGTGTCGGATTTTGTTATTTGTGA